ATTTCATAATATTACAGAAATATATTCTAATTTTGTTGTCTCTGGAATAAAATGAGTTCTACATAACATCTATCTTCTTCTTTTTATATATGAGAAATTTATCATTAATTCTTGGTCTTTTATAACAGTATTCCGTTTCGTAATCTTTTGTGTAACATTTATAACATGTTTCAGAAACTTTTGCTTGAAATATTGTTTGAAACGTTTGAAATATTTCTGAAATAATGTGGTAATGCCTGCACGAACGTCATCTGTGAAAGTAGAAAATTATTGTTTCCACCAAATTTCAACAAAATATCGAGAGAAAAAAATTTTTTATGCAAAAAACGGTGTGTTTTGTACGAAAGTACGTCTATGAACCAAATTTGCTGCAAAATAAATAAGGATTTTAAAAGTAGCTTTGGATTTTATTAAAAGCAGAGGCGTACCATTTTTGTCTACAAAAATATTCAGTTCAAACCCCGTAGGGACGTCACTGGTAAAAATTTAAAAAAATATTTTACGTCAAAGAATGCTACTCAATAATTAGAAGGTGTGTACAAAATTTCATAAAAATATCTGCAGTAATAAAAAAATTATAGTAAAAAAAGTTTTTTTTTTCTTAAAATTGTAACACCCTGTAGCTCAAAAATTAAAAGGTTTACGACATATGTTTATATTAACTGTTCTTCTTAAAATCACCTAGAGATTAACATTCTTAAGTATTGAAACTCAATTAATAAACACCCTGTATAAAAAACGATTATTTATTAATTATGAATTTTTCGTAAAAAAGTTATTTTTTATTAACAGTTTTACGTTTTCTGAAATCTAAAATACCACCGTACAATATCAGATATCAAATTGTTTTAATAGTATACCAGGTGTGTCAAAAAATATGAATTTTGTGTAGAGAAACGTACTTTTTTTGATAATATTAAAAATTATTATATAGAAAAGTTGAATTATGTTTTAACATTTAATTATATCCTTATACCCTGGAAAAAAAAGATGAATTATTTTTTAGACTTTTCTTTAAATAACATTCTTTACTATTTTTTTTTTAAATGAATATTAATGACGATATTACTGAATCACTGTATCAGTATGCATTCTACATTTAATATCAATGTGTAGTTAAAAAATATTGAGTCATTTTTTAAAGGAAAGTGGAAAGTATAAAAATGATTAAATCTTATTTTCCACCAGTGACGTAGATAGCTTTTTGTGAGGGGGAAATGATGTCATATATATATATTACAGGGATAGTTATAAATTTAGTAAATGTTAGCTTTTTCTATTAATACAATAAGAAATGTTATACAAAAATCGAATTTTTATACATTCACTAGTGAATCTTTGACAAAGCTAATTAAAACAACATTTACCGACATTAGCAAGTAAAAGTAATTTCATATTTGCTAACTTTTATCTAGTTTTGTTATTGCAAAATAAAATAAACAATAAACAACAAAAACAATTCAGTAAAATTGTACAAAAATTTGTAAAAGAATTGCCCATAAAATAACTTTTTTTGCCCAGTCTCTATTTTCAAAATATATCGAAAATATGATGGTTTAATTCCATAAATAATAGCATTTCGTTTGCCCTTGTTTGCCCATCAGTTATTCTTTTGAAAATAAAAATATTTAAATATTAAACTCTTGTAGTCTCGTAAATTAAAAATAAATAGTTATCCATGTACTGCTAGGCGGTTACTTTATAAACTTTCATATTCATTTACTTTTTTCCCTGTTATTTCTTTAGTATGTATACAGGGTGTAACAAAACAATGTACAATAAAATCAACACAGTTTTTGTGATTTTTTGTTCTTACTCGAAAACGGCTTAATGAATTTTTATGAAAATATTCATGGGATGTAAGTATATAATGATCAATAAAATAGAGTCAGTGGCGTATACATTTGTTTTAATTCTATAGGTTTTTTAGAAGGATTTCGCACTTTTTTTACCCCTTAATTGATCTACTGCATATGTTTTCACGATTTTTTTTACTATTTTATAAATTCATAGATATAATCTATATTACAAGAGAATAATGATTGTAATTATGAAGGTGTGAAATAGAAAAAAAACTGTAAACAAATATCCAGTGGTTTAATATCACTAGAAAAATTTTAATGTGAATATTTTCTTTCAAGAGCCTATAATTCAGTAATTAAGGCTTTCACAAACAAATACAAAAATTTCGTAACAGTGGTGTCCTCTTTTTAACTAAATTTAACGTTTTAAAAAGTAGGGGGTCAAAGGGGTACAAAACCCTTCTAAAAACTTATAGAATTGAAACATTTTTGAACGCTACTGACTTCATTTTATTGATAACTGTATAGATCTCGTATACATTTTCATAAAAATATGTTAAGCCGATTTTCAGGTAAGTAAATACATAATATACGTACAAAATATGAAAAAAAAAACTTTTTTCGAGACTAAATTTTATGAAATAAAGTAAAGATTACTAATTTCACCCTCCTATAATGTAACAGAAATATTGAAAAAATACCCGTGGTTAGTCCTTTGCGAGTGCACGAAAATTACAAAATTTTAAGTTTCTAGCTGTACTGAAATTTTAGAAAAAAAATAAAAAGTCAATTTTAGTCTCGACCTTTTAAGGGAGATATCTCGGAAAGGGGTGGGCTGAGAAATTTTTGTTATAGGAAAGATCCATCTTAATTGCATACGAGCAAGCACCTCCTGAATTTTGTCGCATGAATTTAGAAACACCCTGTATATACAAGCATATAATTTTTTTCAGAAAAAAATATTTGCTTCGTTATGTACAAATAACAACGGGTCTTAAGTCAAATCAAATTGATTTAAGTGAAGCCATTTTTTTACCAGTTTTGCAAAGTTGTGGTGCCAAGTTCACAGACCTATCAACTTAATTTTTTATTTTTATTAAGATCCTATATCTTACTTGAAAGAAGAGGAACTAATTTCAAATTTTGGTTGTACGTTTAGAGGTATAATTGGATTATTTTTACATCCAAATATGTTTAATATAGAAATATAGAAAGGGGGAAATATTGATATCCAAAATTTGTTTTCTATGTATTCAAATTTTAATTAATAAATATATCTAATTATGTTATTTCTTTCTCTTTTCAGTGTTTTAAAATCAATGTGTCGAATCGCATGTTAGTCCGAAAAATGTAACGGGTAGGAGTTTGTTGACGTCGTCTATGCCGATGGGACATATGCGCAGAAACATTTTTCTGTCTGTTGTATCGACATAGACGATGTGGTGTATTTGTAATAGTTTCTTTTGACAATAAAGACGTTGGATCGTCAGAACTTTAAACCTTTCGAATTTATTTCCTGTGGAAAATGTTGGAAAATGATTCTGCAGTATTCAGTTTTTGGAAGGTGTAAATTCTGCATCGATCCAACGGACAAGGCTGCAAAAATGGTAGCCGGCGATGGTTTTACGGTTTTTATTAAACTCAAATGAACTTATTTGGAAAAAACCGTATTTTTTAAATATAGATAGACTTGTACCTATTTATTTTTTATAGCAATGTAGTTCTTTTTTTATTTATTTAACGAAATCACTTGGCATTATAAAAAACATTTGCTAATTTATGCAATAGGAAATACTCTTTTTTAATTTTTACCTTTAACATAGAAATAGACGCTTTTAAAACATTTTTTATTGAGTTCTATTTCTATTTTTTCACTTTGTATATATCACAATATTATTATTCTATAGTTTAACCTTTAAAATTTATATGTTGATATTTTTTGGTTACCAAGTAAAAAAATTTGAGTTTAATAACGACCTGGAGGCATCGAAGGCTTACTATAGAAACGGAATGAGACATTGAGTATTGAGGTCAGAATGAAAGATCGTACGCCGGGAACAGAAGATATCCGGAAATAAATATACCGGGTGACGCGAAATAAGTGGTTTTTGGACCTACGATGCGAAAGACGAGACAACGAATGGAATATGGTACTACGTTGACTTCAATTGAAGGGTGAGTGTTTATTAATTTCTTATTTATACTTTCGATACCATTTTTCAATAGATAAATAAGTAACCTAAGTAAATCTGTTTGCCAGCAACATATTCTCACTCCATAATAGCTTTTTTTACGATTCTTTAATGATTAGTACTGTCAATCTATTGGAGACCAATTGGGTCACATTAGATAGAAAGTTGAGCAGTGTACCATAGAAGTATTAATAAATATTCTTTCAAATAAAAGTCCTTTTCTATTTGTAATTGAAAAGTACCAAACAATGATTTCATTAATATCAAATTACAACTTGGAAATATATAAATATATATTTTTATGATATTCATTCATCTGTTAATTGTCACTGAACATAGACCACAACTAACTAGATATAAACACACTAGACGTTACAAGGTAATTTGATTGTCTCAACAAAAACAACTAGCAGCCCATAGATGCTGTCGATAATGTATCTACCCATAATATATTTAATTTGAAAATTGGCGGGATTTTTTTCTACTAAAAGAAGAATTTACATTAGCAATAATTATTTTCTATCTAATACGAAATATAGCCATTTAAAAATTCACGAACAAACCTAAAGAAACCCGAACAAAGTAAAGGGGCTATAGGAGTTCGGCCTCATTCCTTATGTAAATTAACATGGGAAATCGCTAAGGTTCATTCTGGCAATTTTTACGGTGACGTCACGCGTCTGCGCAGGCGCGGCGTTTGACGTTTTCGTTTGCCGTTTGACGTTTTCGATTGACGTTTCGCATGACGTTTCGTTTGCCGTTTGACGTTTTCGATTGATGTTTCGCATGACGTTGCCGATTGACGTTTCGAAAAATATTATTAAACTAAAAAAACGACATTTATTTGCAAAACTAATGATTTGACCCTTTCGTTCGAGAAGAAATATATTATTTAGATATACTGTGAATAATATTGGACCTATAACTGTGCCTTGAGGTACACCACACTTTATTTTTATAAATTAACACAAACATTTTACAAAATAAATGCAGATGACCCTTAATGCTTTATGACAACTCCGTTGATTAAAAGTGTCAAATATTGTAAATGAATCCAAATCAAGAATTTCCAATTCTGGGACACGGCGATGTTCAGAAGAAAATTCTGGAATATATCCCGAAACCGCGACCTAATGAGGATCACCTAGGTCCTTTTAATAAATACAACGATGAAAATCACCAAATTTACTTGGTGAAAAAACGACAGTTCTTGGAAGCTACTAGAAAGTACCAAAAGATGACTCAAGAAACCTATACCTGTTTCAAAACTCGATTGCATAACGATTATATGTCGAATTTGAATTTGGATTTTCTAAACGACGATACTGATATAGTAAAATTTTATTACTGGTATCGGTTAAGAATCCAGATGCAAGATTTTCAAAATTCTATCACTGGAATATTGAAGTAACTTACTTTTTATAATATTTTAACAAAAATTAGAAACGGAAAAGTATTTTTTATTTGCAATTTTAATTTATATTATTAAAAATGACAGTATTTTACTGTTTTACCTAACTTTTTTTGTAACAAAATGTAATCTCATGGAATTAGACAATCCAATATTCTGTCAGAATGTTTTTTTTTTAATTATTTAGCAACGTTGCCATATTGAATCCTATTCAATTTTGTTTATTGTAGTAGATGTCCAAGACGGCGGTATTAAAAATTGTTTTGAAGAAAAGTTAAAAAGAAAAAGATTTAGTGAAATAAATTCAAATAATAAAAGTTCGAATTAGAAAATTTAGATAACTATAAAAATTGAAAGACAAAAAGGTTAGGTAAATTGTTTAAGGTTCTTTTTTTTAGTTTTTCTTATTTTAAGAATAATTTTTATGCGAAGCAACCTACTATGGCTGCTCTAGGTTGTATAGGTTAGATGTTTTTTTTGTTTTTCTTATTTTATGTATAATTTTTCTACCAAACAAACCAGCGATAGCTCCAGATAGGACAGGTTAGGAAAATTAGTTGTTGTTTTTTAATTTTTCCTATTTTATATATAATTTTTCTGCAAAACAAACCAGTGATTGCTTCAGATCGAATAGGTTAGGTAAATTAGTTGTTTTTTTAAATGTTTCATTTTTTGTATAATGTTTCTGGGAAGTAACCTGTAAATTAGCTAGTTTTTTTTTAAATTAGAATAGATATTAGGAAAATATGTCTATTTTCTTTAATATATTTTACATTTTCTTTTTATAATATTCACCTATTTTGTCTTAACATCAATTAGGTTAAGTGGTGTCAGTTTTTTTGATACTTTTAATTTAATTTGTAATTTGGCAATTTGTTTATATAACCTACAAAATCAAAATTTTTTTACCATTTTCTCGAAAAATAGTGGTTTTTCCACAAATGTTTTTTCTTTAATTTACAATAGGAACTAGTTACATACTAAGGTTTTTAATTTTTTTACGAAATTCGTGCATCCGGATTCTCTACCGGAACCATATCTTTTTAAATTATCATTTTCTCGAAAAATAGTGGTTTTTTCGCTGTTTTTTCTTTAATCTACTATAGAAATTAGTTTTAAATGTTTTAAAATTTTTTGCAAAATTCGTGAATCTGGATTCTTTACCGGAACCACAATTTTTTTAAAAAATCAAAATTTTGAATTACCATTTTTCGAAAAATAGTGTTTTTTTCGCAAATGTTTTTTCTTTAATTTACAATAGAAACTAGTTTATGTTCTAAGGTTTTAATTTTTTTGCGAAATTCGTGCATCTGGATTCTTTACCGGAACCACAATTTTTTTTAAAAATCTGATGTGTCCAACACATGACTTTCCTATCTAGTTATTATAGGCATTTTCCGGTTATTTTGTACAATCTATTGCAGCATCTCTATAAATGTTTAGAGGATAAACTAAATATATACATTGTCCACATACATCTACCGCGAAACATTTTTCTATAGATATTCATTGAAAATGAAAATACTGAAAAATTTAAATTTAGCACTTTTTCTACACTTTTTCCATTACGGTCCATTTTAAAAAAATCATGTATGAACAAATATTATAGAGATCGATATCGCAAACAACTTTTATTTCAACAATTTTCACAAAAATCAGAATTTTGCACATTTTGTCAAATTTTTCGAATACGGACCATTTCAGGAAATTTTTACATAGAGCAAAAATTATAGAGAATAATATTAGAAGTAACTTTTATTTGAACAATTTTTTTCTCCGAACATAAATAACAGATATATTCCACAAAATATAAAAACGGCCTCCCATAAAGTACCCCAGATGTTCCGACTATGTCCAAAACCTAATCATTTTACGTCAGGCCGAAATAAACCTTAATTTTAAAATTTAATGTTTTTGAGTTTTCTTCAAATTTCGAAATTTACACATTTTCTCAAATATCTCGAATACGGTCCATTTTAGAGAATTTATCTATAGGATAAAAATCTGATGTGTCCAACACATGACTTTCCTATCTAGGTATTACAGGCTTTTTCCGGTTATTTTGTTATTTTGTTTAGCACTTTTCCATTACGGTCCATTTTAGAAAAATCATGTATAAACAAAAATTATAGAGATCGATATCGCAAACAACTTTTAGTTTAACAATTTTCATAAAAATCAGAATTTTGCACATTCTGTCAAATTTCTCGAATACGGACCATTTCAGGAAATTTTGACATAAAGCAAAAATTATAGATAATAATATTAGAAGTAACTTTTATTTGAACAATTTTCTTCTCCAAACATAAATAACAGATTATTCCATAAAATATAAAAACGGCCTCCCATAAAGTACCCCCCCAGATGTTCCGACTTTGTCCAAAATCTAATCATTTTACGTCAGGCCAAAATAAACCTTAAGTTTAAAATTTAATGTTTTTTTCTATATCCGTTTTTGAGTTTTCTTCAAAATTCGAAATTTACACATTTTCTCAAATATCTCGAATACGGTCCATTTTAGAGAAATTATGTACAGTATAAGAATTATAGAGAATTATATTACAAACAACTTTTATTTGAACAATTTTTATAAAAAATTATTTTTTTTACATTTTGTCAAATTTCTCGAATACGGACCATTTTAGGAAAATTTTGCATAAATCAAAAATTATAGATAATTATATTAGAAGTAACTTTTATTTGAAGAATTTTCTTCTCCAAACGTAAATAACAGATATATTCCATAAAATATAAAAATTACCACCCATAAAGTACCCCCCCAGATGTTCCGACTCTGCCCAAAATCTAATCAGCTCATTGGACGCTGAAACAAAGCTTAAGTTTAAAATTTGGTGTTTTTTTGTGTATCGGTTCATGAGTTATGCGTTATACAGACACACACACAGACACACACAGACACACACAGACACACACAGACACACACAGACACACACACACACACACAGACACACACACACACAGACACACACACAGACACACACACACACACACACACACACACACACACACACACACACACACACACACACACACACACACACACACACACACACACACACACACACACACACACACACACACACACACACACACACACACACACACACACACACACACACACACACACACACACACACACACACACACACACACACACACACACACACACACACACACACACACACACACACACACACACACACACACACACACACACACACACACACACACACACACACACACACACACACACACACACACACACACACACACACACACACACACACACACACACACACACACACACACACACACACACACACACACACACACACACACACACACACACACACACACACACACACACACACACACACACACACACACACACACACACACACACACACACACACACATACACACACACACACACACACAGACACAGACACAGACACAGACACAGACACAGACACAGACACAGACACAGACACAGACACAGACACAGACACAGACACAGACACAGACACAGACACAGACACAGACACAGACACAGACACAGACACAGACACAGACACAGACACAGACACAGACACAGACACAGACACAGACACAGACACAGACACAGACACAGACACAGACACAGACACAGACACAGACACAGACACAGACACAGACACAGACACAGACACAGACACAGACACAGACACAGACACAGACACAGACACAGACACAGACACAGACACAGACACAGACACAGACACAGACACAGACACAGACACAGACACAGACACAGACACAGACACAGACACAGACACAGACACAGACACAGACACAGACACAGACACAGACACAGACACAGACACACACACACACACAGACAGACAGACATCATCGCGAAAATAGTCAAAACGGATTCAGGGGACCTCAAAACGTAAAAATCCGTCGAAAACTCGAGGTCGAAAAAAATCATGATTCCTATACTTTCCTTATATCTGTATACAGATAGGAAAGTAAAAATTATAGAGAATTATATTACAAACAACTTTTGTTTAAACAATTTTTATAAAAAAAATATTTTTTTACATTTTGTCAAATTTCGCGAATACTGACCATTTTAGGAAAATTTTGTATATAACAAAAATTATAGATAATAAAATAAGAAGTAACTTTCATTTGAAGAATTTTCTTCCCCAAACGTAAATGATATATTCCATAAAATATAAAAATGACCACCTATAAAGTACCCCCCAGATGTTCCGACTCTGCCCAAAATCTAATCAGCTCATTGGACGCTGAAACAAAGCTTAAGTTTAAAATTTGGTGTTTTTGTGTGTATCGGTTCATGAGTTATGCGTTATACAGACACACACACACACACACACACACACACACACACACACACACACACACACACACACACACACACACACACACACACACACACACAGAGACAGACAGACATCATCGCGAAAATAGTCAAAACGGATTCAGGGGACCTCAAAACGTAAAAATCCGTCGAAAACTCGAGGTCGAAAAAAATCATGATTCCTATACTTTCCTTATATCTGTATACAGATAGGAAAGTAAAAATATGAGGAAAGTTAAAATTTTAATTTTTCGGTATTTTCGTTAGCAATAAATATCTATAAAAAAATTAGACTTTCAGAAAATAAGGGTTTTGTTATTTATACTTGCAGAAGCAAATTGTTTAAATAAAAATTATTTTTGATGTCATTCTCTATAATTCTTGTCCCATACATAATTTCTCTCAAATGACCCGTATTCAAGAAATATATCAAAAAGGGCTAAATTTAAATTAAAAAAATCAAATAAAAATTGTTTGCGATATCATTTTCCATAATTTTTGTTATATACATGATTTCTCTAAAATGGACCGTAAT